CGACAAACGTTTTAGACATCACCATGAAGCTGCCATAGGTGAGCCTCCGATTCAAATAATTTTCAACAGGTTCTTTTATCCATTATTAGGGAACCCGGAATGGCGTAGTGTGGGGAGAGTGGTCGCCTCCCACCGCTTTGGCCAGGGCTCGATCCCCCCCGGCTGATGTCACATGCGAGTTGAGTTTGGTTTTGGCTTTCGTCCTTGCTCCGAGGGTTTTCCTTCGGGATTTCCGGTTTTCCTACCTCCACACAAACCAACATTTCAAATTTCAATTTGACCTGGAAATAGTAGACAAAAATAGCCACCCGAGGAATTTCCACTGCTAAAGTCCCATCTCATTATTAGGTAATTCAGATTGGTATATTTATTTGGAGGGGAATGGAACGAAAGTTGAAACAAATGAAAAATGAGAAAAACGAGCGAGGACTGAGCTGAACGGAGGAACAAACGAACTATTCAAACTGAAATAAATTCGTGAAAATACCTAACACAATGTACACTGATTAATTGCTATAAAATGTTAAATAAAAAATTGACGAAATTGAAGAAATATACTATCATGGAACCTAAAAGACATAAATCAAACTTACATCTGTTGCAAAGCTGGGCGAAACTGTGGAGCTGCTCGCAGGCGACCATGAAACAAGAGGAAGAAATTGCCGAAGCGAAAAAATCTAAGGGGAAAAAAGCTGAAAAAAAAAAAAAAAACGCCCCGACTTTCGGCGGCCAAGAGGTACAATGAAAGAGCTGCTAAGGCAATATAAACACGCTATGGGTCACGTGATACAAAAATTCCTTCATGACAATAAATGAGTGATGCTGAATGGGTGATTAGTAAGACCTTGCACCGACTAAGTAACTTAATTGGAAAAAACAAAAGAACATAAAAAAGGCGTTTATGATATTATGCACCACTTCCCTGAGAATCAAAAGAGTTGAGTGAGAATAACACTGCTCAACTGCTGGGTAATTTAGTTAAACAGTTCACTCAGTTAGGTTCCCAGTAAGGCTACGACACTGTTAGGACCAGGAAACCTCACATATTACATAGCCAAGCTGTTTACGAGGGTACAAGCTGGGTACAAGTACAAGCCGCTTCTAATGACTCTCGTGATCACAGTTATGACACCAAACAGCCTTAAGAAGGTTAAAGTTTGAAATTCAAAGTGTACTGGCAAACGCAAGGAATTTTCCAGACCAGCACTTTGAATCCCTGGAGCAATGCTGATTCGGACATTAAAGATAAACGATTTGTAGATAAAATGCAAACGTACGTTCTTGAAGAGAAGCTCTACAGAGAGGTAATTCGGAATCCATCCATTATTCCAATGGCGTTCGATTCACACATGGAGCTCAATATCATTTTTAACGTCTTTTTATAAACCGTTTTTTTCTCTGGTTTTAAACTTGAAAACCACTGGGCCACTGGTATTTCATGCAGCCCCTATTCAATAAGTCATAATTGAAATTTTTATTTAAGTCGTTATCATCATCGTCATTATCACGATGATGTAAAAATGTGGGCATCACTCCACTCAAAAATGTAACGAAAAACGAAGGAGAAAATCTTTCAAACGACTTCATTTGTCAATGTTGTGGCTACGAAGACTACCGCTGACGAAAATGTTTGGCGTTCTCCTGAAAATTTATCGTTATTTTTTTGCTTTGGTCAACATCGTCTTGATAAAAGTGGAAATATTGTGGCAAACGCAGCCAGCAGAGGCAGCTTCGGTATCTTTTACTGTTTTAGTTTTTGCTACGTTCAAAAGATGCCCAGTACTCCGAGGGTAAATGAGCTTTCCCCATTATTCGCTTCACGTCGTTATGTTGATACACATGTCTTTATGTTGGTGGTATGAATTCATTAGCTAAACCATTTTATACAAAAGAAATGAGATAAAAATTTTATCGGCGCTGCAAATCACGAAAGGAGTTATGAAGTTAGTCTGTTAGGAACTAACTCCACCCCACCTCAAAACAAAGCATTTCTGAGACGTTCAAGAGATTGATAAAAAGGCTAATTAAGTTGCTACACAAGAAAACCTCGGAAAATGACTTACCATCTCTTGATTTCGATACCTAAAACGCTTGAAATAACACTAATTCGGACCATATTTTACATTTAGACAATTAATTGGACATTTTTACCCTATGATATAACGTCTAAAGTGATTCGTCTTTGCATTTAATCCTTGCTAAATGAAACAGTTGTCTGCGAATCTAGAGAGTTTCAGAAAGGTAGTAACTTGTAACAAGTTCGTTCTCGACAGCGGTACAACCGTATTATGGACCAGTTATTATTTATTGCCTAAGGGGGGGTGTGGAGGATTTTGGGGGATCACATGGTTTTCACGGGAAAACGAAGGGGATCTATCATCACCAACAGAGTATAAAGATGGGGGGGGGGGAAACAATTGACAGCGACTTAAACAAACCTCTCACCCTCTCCCCCCAAGATTTAATATGACCGGACCCTAACTCCCTTAATAATTCGTGCCTCTTTTGTATATCTTTACTTACTAAAGAAACTACAATGGCCTGTGGAGCATATGGGAAAAAATGGCTAAGATATCACTTAAATCCCGTTCTACAACTAAAGCGTTTACCATCTTGGATTATATTTCACAAATTATTATGGAATCGTTAAGTCTGTTTTTAGAAATAAAAAATACAAATGATAACGAGGCATTGAGCAAATCTACACCTAAATTGAAAGTATCCCTTCAAACGTATTCCAGACATTTAAGTTATTGAATATTTGATTGACAAAAATGGTCTTAACTGGCATGCACTTCAAGAAAAACAAGATCAAAGTTAGAGAGGGAACTCTTTTAAGAAAGATTGAACAAAAAACAATCAATAAATTCCTAATTACCGTGCAAGTAGTGACAGATGATTCCCTTACCCTTCACGGAAACGTTCTGACGTTAGTTTCATAAAGCTTCTAATTTTTCCATAGAGCTTTCTTCTTACTCTGGACAAGAATTAAGTTTGGCTTTTCCCGACGCAAGCTTGAACCAGTCAGTTACCTTATTAGTTCTCCTTTTCCCTTTTATTTCATTCCCTTTTATTTCATTCCCTTTTATTTCATTCCCTTCTGACTGAATGATCCTCGTGCCCACTACTGACGCAAAGGATCAAAGCTTTACAAAAACATTTTACAAAGGTAATTTGACTTAAATGAGTGAGTTTCTTTGACTTATAGCTGCAAGGTTAATTTCATAAAGGAAATTCATGAGCCATTTTCTTTAATTAAGTTGTAGAATTGTCCAATAGCCTTTAAATAAACTGTCCTTTTAAGTTCACCGATTTTTTAACCAGCCTCTTTGAGATAAAATGATTAGTTTCCTTAGGCTGATGTAAGATTAACACATTCGTCAGCAACCGTTGTCAATAAGCTTCCATAGCAAGCATATTCACTGAACCAGTTAGGCTGTTGCCATTGTTACTTGCTTTTTCGGTGAGTGTGATCGAAGTCGAGGTTCTGTGTTCCCGTGTTCTAGAGACCGAAGGAAAATTAAAAATACGAATATTCAAGCTGAGCCATGGTTGCTGCCGAGTTAAACCACGCCACGCACGGCGATAATCTTGCTTACAAAACGCACATAGAATGGGATTTGCCAGCGGGGGAATGAATCGGAGATAGAGGATGACACATAAACCCCATCCTGGTAAGATGTAGTAAAACCTCTCCGGAATGTGATCTTGAAGAATTAGAAGAAAAAACGGCAGCCAGCAACCGATAAATATAAGCATCATAAACACTAAGATAAAGGTTCCTCGCAAATCGTAAGCCATCGAGGGCACTGGTTGGTCGAGATTTTTCCTACGCCTACGAAAGGCGAAGATGTGCCGAAAAGAAATAAGAAAAATGCGGCTGTAAATGTAGAACATCACCAGTAAAGGCAAAAAAAAGAACACTGTGATCAGCAATAAAAGATAAACTTTGTCAATCTGAATTGTGTCTTCTTTGGGTTCCTGTAAGTCATTGTTCCATTTGTACCAAGCAAACTGAATGGATGAAGACGCTAATGCCACAAACCAAATCAATAAAATCACACATGTGGCTCTGGTTTTTGTTACGATCGAAGGGTATTTCATAGAATGTAGAATGATAACGTACCGGTCACAAGCAATGATAAAAAGGTGAAATACGGAAGAAACGGCGGTGAAACGCACAAGAAAAACAGAGAGTGTACACTGAAGTAGGGAGGTGGTGACTGTGCAAGACACGAAGACAGGAATTCCGATTAAACCAAACAACAGATCAGAGAGACTCAAAGAAAACAGGATCATGTTACTCACTGTCCTTAAGGTTTCTTTCCAGATCGTCAAGACGATAACAACACAGTTGGCGACCAAAATAGATATAAGAATCAAAATCAAGGGTGCATGAATCGGCCAGTAAAAACCTTGAGCGCAGACAGAACTCACATACACTTCCAGTTTGGCGCTGGAGTTCGTCCTTTGACTCGTATTTGTACCAGACAGTTGTTCTTCTGCACTTGTGTTTCCAAAAGACATCTTTGCTAGTCCCTTACCAAGTATTGCCTTCGGCTCTTTGCGGATAATTCTTTTTTTTTCTCAAACAACACTTTTTAAAGCCCTGCGGCCCATATGAATAATTGATTGGCCTCACAGTCAAGACACGTGAGATAAACACCCGAACCGGGACTAAAATATGCCTTTTAGTTTGGAAACTCAACAATGATTTCAGCTTGGACCTCATGACAGAACAGCAGTAGCAGTTGGCTTCTCCCTAATCAGTTTTTTTTTTTTTATGCCTTTGCCTGGAGGAAATCATCATCTCTAGCCCAGCAGTGTTCTGTTTATATTATACGCTAAACCGAGCAAATAAGATGTTGAAAAACCATTTAATTTTCAACACGGAATCAGTTTATTTTGTTACTCACTGACCGATATATTTTTTTTTCTTGCATTAGAACTGTTTTTGTGAAATGAAAACTTGGCAGGACCTATGAAAGCATTCAAGAAGTTCTTTTTTGATATCATTTTAGTTCCCTGTTCAAAACGATCCTAATATCGCGAAATTTAAATTTTGTATAAGGAGTCACAAGTAAAAATAAATATAAGAGAGCATTGTAAAGCATAATAATTGGGAAGAACGTCGATATTTCATTCCACAGTCTCTGTTTGAAATTTTAGGAAATTGATGTATCCTTCTTTCCACCTCAGACAGAACAGGCCTCTACCGTGACCAATCAATCTGACTTTCCATTTGCCGGATATTTTTTAATATTTCAACTAGCACCGCTATCTCGATATTAAAACCCGACAGTGCAGTGAAGAAACAATTTATAATTAATCACATTTCGCTGCTGCACTACATTCACGCAATATGCTATGAATCACGGAAAGACAAAAGAAAAGGCTTGTTCAAAAAACAAAGTGTTCTAATCTAATGTGCAGAATTTTTTGTTTTTTGTTTAAATTTCTTTACATTTCCCGTCTTTAATTCTCTCCAGAAAATAAAACATGTAGATAGGCTTTATTGAAGACAACAAAACTTGAAAATCTTATCGCTACTCCACTAAAAACATTCCTCTTTTGATTAACATTTGTATTTTTTCATCAAAAATAACACCAGAAGCATAGTAATCGTTTCTCGCAGCAGTCTTGAAGCTGTCTCCAATTCTTGTGTATATCTCCCGTATTGATTTGACAAATTTAGAAACAGTTTTCCGTAATACATAGTCAGGAAGAAACGTCACCGATGACAGATGAAACCTAATCAACAACTTTCGGCTTAGCTTTTAAGATGATTTGAAATGAAAAAAACTAATTGTGTCGAGATAGAAAACAGTAATTCATATCTCAATTTGAAAATCAAACTTGAATATAATAAGCCACACTTTCGTTTGAAACCACATAAACGGATATATACGATAAACTGAAATTAAAGCGAAACAAATTTTCATTTAATATGAGCAGGTGGTAATGGCGAACCTCTTTCTATGCTAATAAATCTGCTCTTTCCTTCTAAAGCGCTTTTAATATTTAAGGACCTCTCTTGAAAAGATTAGATTATTTTCCGCCAGCTCTCACCCAAAACAGTTCCGGTGGAAAATAACGGAAAAGTAAACCTTTTTTTGTTGCAATGAATCACAGAATTTAATGATAATCAGATATTCTTGGAATTCTACATCAGTTATCACAACAATTGTCGTCGATCCAGTTTTTTTTTTCTCTGAAAAATAATCTAAGGACTGACCAACACTCAGAAATCATCTACAAAAGAAGCTTGATTCTTTAGGACGAGAGAGAGAATCAATTATGCGATCGAATATTTTGTGTGGATTCATTGTTGCCATTGTTCTAATGGGAATACCGGCATATGCTGTGGTCTTTTAAACCCTCCTTAGCTGCATGGCTTTTCTAATTTTAGCATATTGAATGTCCTTCTGACCACTCTTTTAAGGCCCCATTGTGGTGCTAGTGGTCATGATACCGTAGGGGTTCGTTTGCAACCGCACTCGCAGTGTAATTCAGACGCATCACCCTACCCAGATCCTTAAGCAGCATAGCTTAACATTTGTAAAGCTTCCTCGCCGTTTTTCGTACTCCTCGTTTTTCGTAACTTTTCCGTGATTCCACTAGCCTAGTGTGAGGGTTTTTTTGACTCACTGCAATGCCAACAGCATTCGTATTGTTATGTAGACAATAGTTTTCTTTATTGGAAATGGAAATTGCAGTATTTTTTTTCCTATCGTGGCAATTGTTTTTGTCAATTTCACTAGCAATGGCTATATATTTGTAAGGATTGTTGACAGGTGCAATTCATATTTATTTCAAGTTTTGACTCAGTTGTTTAGATGCAAAATAAAACTCTTCATAGATTACAGTCCAACATGACGGTGTTTAGCATGGCTTGTGTTTGACATGATTGGACAGTAAATCTTTCTCGCAAAATGTAGATCTACACAGTCTCCTGGATATTAACTTGTCTGTCGATCACACAAAGTTTAGAATATATTTACTAGATCATGGATGCTGACTTGTATACCATTCGTGAAGAAATCTTCACTCTTGTCGAACCGCATAGAGTACAGAAGAAATGTAGTGTGAAAAACAAAATCTTCAAATGATCGTAGGCCCTCCAGGGCGCTTCATGTCAATACCCTTTTTGAGTCAATAAAATGGGTAATAAAAAAAAATCAATTTAAAATAATATCGGGATACCGTGTGAGTTTTGATTTTTACATTACTATTATCGATTTCATCAAATTTGTCGAATTTATCGGCGCAAAATGTCTCCAGTTATTGGAGGGCAGTGAAACATCAGAAAATAAACAGTTTTAACTAAAACTGAGCTCCTTGAAATTTAACCGGATCATGATCAGTGATCCGAAATCACTAGGATCCTAGTGCCTCTGAAGTAGCAGTCTTTCAGTCGTGGATACGCGAAGCGTGTAAACAGCTGTTAAAATTTTACAATCAGTAAAAAATCATTAATATAACAACGAAAAACCACTACTAAGGTCAGTTAAACCGCTGTAGCCAAGTGTAATCGTTTCTTTTTCTTACAAACCTTAGGCTTGTCAATGGGATGTCATGTTTTTTCCCCGAGGACTTTCCTCTCGAGGACTTTTTTCTCGAATTTTGTCTCGACGACTTCGTATGTACTTTGTAGGAACCTATTGAGTGGAAACTGACTCCAGAGATCAATCCACTGATCCCAGGAATCACATGGGTCAACGCCAGATGGGTTTAGGCAATTTAGCAGCTGATCTGTTATCACTTGAGTGGTGCGATTATAACATTCATCTACAGCTAGATAAAAATAAAGTTACAGTCAAAGATACCATCTAGACAAAAATAATGTTTCTACGGCGCAAATCAATATATGAATATGATCAAATGGGCCCTAGACAAAGCTAATTCAAAATACTTTTGAACTAAGCCATCTTCAGTCCAATAGATCAGATTTGCTACTGTTGTATTAAATAGTCCGTTCTGAAGACATCGGGTGGTCCCCCCCCCCTCCCCCATGCCAGTCCCCTTAAAACAAACAAGGAAAAAAGGTGAACTTAGATACCTCTTCAAAATATGAGCCGAACACGAATGTTCAATGGAATTCCAAACATTTTAGATACACCCACTTCAGATTCTTTCAATAGCATTACCATTTCAAACATCTCAATTCATAGTATGTCATTTCTAACCTGTGCTTTTGTTGATATCATCAGCAACGTCTAATATTTCTCGATACCAGTGATACTCGGCTGGATAAGTTCGTATGCACTCTGGGACCAAAGTTCCATTTACGGTGTCATTTCTTGTGGGAAAGGTAGTCTATAGAACACTTTCATAAATGGCTGCCGGATTAATATTCTTTTGTTTAAATTAGCCCTTCTGGCCTCGCTTGAGATAATGTTTCTTTTGAATTTCGTATTGGAGAACGGGGCCAGAAGGGCTAATTTAAATTTAAACAAAAGAATATTAATCCGGCAGCCATTTATGAAAGTGGTCTATAATAGTGAACTTCTCATGGAACGAATGAGATAATAAAGACACCAGGCTACGATGTTATTATAATAAAAACACGTCACCAGGCTATTGAAGGTCGCGGCCATACAATTCCTCTGAGACTGGGACTGAGATCCTTCCAGGACTCCATGACAGAGTCCCGCCCCAGTCTCTGTCCTACGGCCATCTTTAGGCAAGTGAGCGGAATTCCTTCTATAATGAACATGATGAAGTACGGGATGAAAAATGGTCCTACAAAAGCGCACAAATTATTTCCCTCCTAATAAAACAAAATGCTCTAGTTGATCAGAGAGATAAAGGTAATAACAAGAACAGCAACAATAATTTTAATGAAATTAACCGCACTAAAATCAATACTCAGGTGTAGCCAACTTCGAAGCTAGTTGGCCCATCTGCGTTGACTGTCCATTTGCGTTGCAAGATGGAACAAGGAGTATTGTTATTCTCTCTGGGTAGGACAAGAGTCAAAAGTCAAGGCGCAAGAATTTCATAGGCTGTCCTTGACCGTTTCCTTTTTACCCCTAGTCAAGCAGAGGGAGACATCACGAGAGTAAACATTCTTGTCCAAGAGAAAAACACATCAAGCAGATCAAGAACTCGAACTCAGGCCTCTCGATCTAGAAGCCAGCACGACTAAATGTTTGGCGGCCTCGTCTCTCATGATAAGCAGAGAGAGCTCGAATTTTTTGTGGTATTGCTTGGAGGACGGGAAAATGTAGTTGTTACCAGCGAGAACTGACGCATGATACGATACACGGGCTCTGTTTTATCATACAGATCATAAAATTACACTGAATCCTCGCCTTTCAGATCCAAGATTCAAAACTATAATAAATTTCATGTTGGTTTTGAAACATCATCACCCTCTACTCTCCATGTTGACAAGAGAATAACCTGAATCGTTTTTAATCGGATAGGTTGCACTGAATAAACTGAATGAAAAAAAAAAAAAATTACCACATCCCTACCTCCTCCATGTTTGAAGCATAGCTGAGGAAATCTGACAACATTTCCTGTTCCCAGAAGATATGCTAGCA